AGGGGAGCGGGCGGCGGGCGAGGCCAGCAGGGCGGGCGGCGCGGGGGCTGCGGCCCGGGCCGGGGAGGGGCCCGGCGGCCGCGCGGCTGCCTGAGCTCCGGGGCGACGGGGAGCAACTTCCCTGAGCCGGGGCGGCGGCGATGTGCCGGTCTGCCGAGCCTTCCGCCGACTCCGAACTTGGCGGAGCCGTGAGGGGAAGGCGGCGGCGTGCGTGCCGTGGGCTCTGGGGTCGGGCTGGTGTGTTTACCCGCTCGCGGGGGAGGTGGCAGCACATTTCTTGGGTGCAGGGTGGGGATGGAGATCCTGTGTGTTTCTGGGGTTGGGGGAGTTAGGCCCGTGCCATCCACAATCACTCGTGCTCGCCCACCTCTTGTTTCAGGACGGAAAGTTAAAGGGTGAGGGAGAAGTCTGAGTGGCAGCAAGCTACTGTTGCTACAGGCTGGGGATGTTTTTACTCTGTTGTGTTGAGTACCCAGGCGTAGGTTCAGTGCCCCCTTTGAGCATTGTGTTCTACATGTACTTAATATTCGAAAACGAAATGCCTTTACAGAATAAATTTACGAAAAGAAACTGTATTTGTTCTTGCGATTACTTTTTGTGATTATAGTTGACATTTGGTCACAGGCAGAGATGCCGAACTATAAAAGTGGAATAAAATTAAAGAAAAAAAAGTATGTTTCTTTGAAGAATATTGACTTTCTCTGCAAGCACAATGTGGAAAAAAATACAAAGCTGTATAAGGATAATAAAAATTAGACGTGAGACTGGTTTTAGAAAATATGTTCTATGGCAAAAATCGAATGTTTTGTTATATTCTTACTTATTTTCGAGATGTGCTGAAGGTGTTTTATAATGGTTACCTAACTTTGCTTCCACTGTGATTCTGACTTAACATAAACTGTTAATATTTTTTATTTTAGCCTTTTTATCTGCACAAACATTATTATATTTATAGGCCCTGGAAGAAAGGTGTTGTCAAGTACATTCATTCTGTGCCTTTCACATACATTCTTAATAGAATATATAGACAGCATTACTTTAAGTGAGCTTGCATTTCTGGATTATGTATGCATCAAGTAGAAGGAATTCATATAGGGCTTGGGGACAGAAAGTTGTTTTGTTTTTTTCCTGCTACTTATTTGTTAACTTAGTCATTTGGAATTTTGAGATAGGTTCTGACTATCCAGCCTGGATTGGACTTGAATCCTTTATCCTCCCTCTCTGGTCACTTGAGTGTTAGGATAGCTAACTAGGGTTCCACCTCGATTTTAAGATTGATATGAATGAGATTTCTTTGAGGTTGTGGAGGATCTTGAGAAATGATTATTGATAATTTATTGTACTCTTTGACCACCCCTATTTGTCAGCTTAAAAAGTAATGAATTATATAATTATTGACATTTTTCATCATTAGACTTGTGAATGTTAATAATGTCCAACACAAACCTTCTGAACAGGCGAGTCATTTGTTACTATTTTCAAAATAAAGGACTGGGACTAGAATCAAGGGATAGTTTAATGAACTCATGGTACCTCTCCCTCTTGATGTTACTAGAAAAACAGGCAGAATTACAAAGGTGAATGAGACTATGTAGCTACCTTCCAGGGAGAAGCAGGCATGCATACAAATAATTGCAACACAGGCTTCCTGTAGGTTTTATTAGAGGTGGATGGAAGTATGGGGTGTATGTGAAAGATGCTAATTTGGAGGGAGTTAGAATGAACGTGCAGCTGTGACACCACTGTGTTTGGGCCTTAAATGTTTTCATAGGTACAGGGGGCTGGGGACAGTACTTTTCTGAGTGAAGGGAGTGGGCTGAGGCCTGTCATCCGGCTGGGTGTTAGAGCACCTGTTGAGCTGGATGCAAAACTGCTGTGGAAGCGGACGCTGGGAAAGTAGGTAGAGAGCGGCCATGAGGGTTCAAATGCCTTGTATATAAAAATGAGTCAGTTTGAGGTGTGAGGGTTCAAGTGTATCTCTTCTGTGGTGACAAGAGGTGGGGAAATAAAAAATGGCACGTTAAAGGAAACAAATTAGAAGCCAATAGTTAGCTGGCTGTCATTTATTGCTAAATGACAATAATGAGGGGAAAAACATGTATACAATGGAAAACTGTACATGGTTTTCTAATTTTTCTTTACTTACATTTGATTTTGGGTGTGCCTGGCAATCTGGTAATTGGTTTTACATGAAATACATCAGGATTGTAAAAATGACTCAGGGAGAGATGGGAAGCTCTCCAATTATTTCTTTGTTCCCTCTGATCCTTCCTGTAACCCCTCCCCCCTTCCCTTTTTTTTTCCTGCTGGGAACAGAGCAGATCTTTACTATGGTATAGTTTTTGGTTCAGTTCTCCCCCCACCAATAGAGCATGTATTGGTTTAATTACAAAGGGCATCCCAATACACTATATACAGATAAATACAGGAAGTGCTGAAATATTAAACAACATGACAAAATGCAGGCTATTGCATAATCTGTTACTGTGAATACATTTTAAGGTGAGATTTACTATGGATAAAGTATAATGTGAAAACAAATACATAGAAAGAAAATTAACTGTAATAGAAAGATGGTAAAAAAGAATGGCTGGTTATAGGTAAGCGTGTATGGGCTTTTTAGCCATCTTATGTATCAGTCGACTGTAAAATAATTTAACCCTCAATAAATCACTATCAAAGTAGTCTTAGAAAAATGGCACCCTCATACCATTGAGTTAGTGAGTGCTTGTGAAATTGTGAGTTGTGTAACAGTGAAGGCTTTTTCTCTCCTTGGAATTTCCCTCTTAATATTAAAAAAAAGCCTAGATTGTAACCAAATTAAACCTCCCCCTAGAAAACAAAACTAGCCATAATTTACCTTTAAGTCTAGTTTGCGTAAAACCACTTTGAACTCTTCTGGAGGATTCAGTTAAATGATGGGACTTCCATTTTGAGAGCAAAGCAGTCTTAACTGATTTTAAGCAAGCTCTTGAGATACATATTGGAAATAACAATATATATTTGAATCTTCTTTTTCCTGACTATGAAGTCACCAGTATTGTTTTTTTCCTTCAACTTTTCATATTCTTTTTGTCTTTATTCAAGCAGTTGGCATTTAGCAGTATTATTTGATACTGTTAGTATGTTCCAGTGTTGGCTGTTTAAGAAGAAAGTTGGCACATTCTTTGGACATGCAGTTTGGGGATATGTGTCTTTTTCCAGTTGCAAGGAATCTGTAGGCTTAGAAAACAGAGTTCCAGTGACAAGCATTATCTTTGTGTTGAACCTCAGACAGAATCATACTTGCAAATCTTATTTTTGGATTTAACTGCACTATTTGTTAATGTGGTATGACTTTGAATGGTCTGGGAATTTGTTTGAAAACATGTAATAAGGTTGTAGCTCAGTGGTAGAGCTCTTGCCTAGAAAATAGTAAAGGAGAGAGGTGTATGTGGAGATTATTTTTAGATACTTGCTGTTAGACGTGTTTTCCTACGCCCTTCTCAGAGTTGAAATTTAGAAACTGCATGTCTGAAGTTTTTTTATATTATGGGGCCTGTACTGAATATGTTCTTAGACTGTAAGTTATTATATTTTCTCCATCCATTTCCTGTTTATCACCTTAGCATTCTTAACAATGAAATATTAATGTATTTTTAGTAGAAAGAAATACTTTTGGCTATTTTCTTTACTAATGATAATATAACCTAGTTATAATTAAGTTTACAACATTTGTGGCTGAATCTTGTCTACATTTATTTTTATATCTTTCTATGGTTTACGGCAAAAATCCACCTGAGTTAGTGTCAATTCTTTTCTTTCCTCTAGTACAGTAAGGTCAGACTTGAAGTTTTTCAGATGCATTTAGCCAATTCTGAATTGCCTAGAAGTATTTCTTTAGCTTATAGCTACATTTGGTATGTATGCGTGCGTGTGCTGTCGTGTGTAGTGGGGGAGGAGGCGCGGAGAGGAGATTGAGGGTTGAGGTTGATCTGCCATTATGCCCTCGTCAAGATTCAGTAATGGATGTAAACGTGAGGCGGCATGATGCCATAGACATCCTCATTCCACAGAGTGCCGATGTGTGTCAGCCGTTAGGGCTGATTGCTGTGTAGAATAACCAGAGACTCTTGGGAAGACTCGTTATAGCAGAATGCCTCTTAAGTGACCTCTGCTTAAACCCACTCGTGAGCTTAAATGGTACTCTTTCTTTTCCTTGTAGGATTTGCAGAGCCCGTGCTACATGGGGTGGTAGAAAGCTACTCTTTACTTTCCTCTAAAACTTTCATTCCTTCCAGTTGTCCTTACGAAGAATCACTTGTATTTATGCTTCACAAACTGTCAGTGACAGTTACGCTTGATTTTGTAATCACATATTGCAGTAAAACCTTGTTCAGCAAATTCTGAGGTCAGAAACATGTTTGTATGAGAGCCACTTTGCTGCTTTGGAAAGAAGAGTGTAGCAAAACCAATTACAGTTGAAATATGGGGACAATGAAATGATTTTAATCCTGAAGAACAATATAAAGACCCCAGAGTAGTCTGCT